TTGCTTTCCTTTTTTGATTCATCATAGTAGGTTGAGGTATGAAGCTGCCAGCTAGAAACAAAACTAACAACCAATTATGAACATGTTTTTGATGGTTAGGATCTTTGAATGACATTTTATACACTAACTTATTGACCATTTCTGAGTTTGAATGATTAATAAGCGGAATTGAGAAACTGGATAATGCAATCATGTGTAACTGTGTGTGAGTATTGATTGATGTTTAGCACTAAGAGCAGAAACTAGAACTTACCTGAGTAGTCTTACTTGAAACATAGTAGAGTTGGATATGAAAGGATCAGTAGGCTATTTTTGTAAAAAAAAAAATTATCCACTTGAACCCACGTTGAGCCTGAAATTGGCATTTATTCTCACCCTAACACAGTTTAAAACCTTGGTTTACCCAAAGGTACATGGCACAACTCAGGCTAAAAACCTAAGTTGAGGATGAGTGTGGGTGTATATATATATACTAGTTTCCGGGCACGCGCTTTGCGCGTGTAACCATGAGTATATTATTTCTTAAAAGATAATACTAATAAATAATAAAATATGTCTAATTGAGATTTTTTACTTTGTTTTACTACTAATTGTGACACTCCAATTTTCTGACCTCCAAGTGAATGCATCGAGATAATAATATGAGAAATTAATAAAATAAACTTTGTTTGTAATTTAAAAAATAAGTTTGCAAAGTTAAAAGGAAAAATAACAACTATCTAAATTAAATTTCTTGATAGTTCCGTTTTATTGGTAGAATAATGCTAGATAGTGTAAGATTAACTTTGAGTGAAGGAAAACAAAACCTTTCAACTTTTTTAATGAATGTGTTTTAAGTATTGTATTAAATTTTTATCCACAAACACTTTAAACTAATTAGTTAACTATAATATTTAAAACTAAGATGTAAAAAGTTTTATTATTTATATTTTAAAAATCAGGATATTTATGAATAACTACTTATTTTTATATAAAATTTAATTCTGTCATACATAACTAATCCACCATTAATCTAATATTACATATTTCACCTTTTTTTCCATAAAAAGAAAAGAAAAGAGTAAACATCCTATTTTATCACATTGATTCTTAAAGATGAAAATTAATGTATATTTAAAAATTATAAATACGGAGAAAAGAAAAGAAAAGATACACATGAGCAAGATAATTAGGCATTTCATTTTGTTTGTCTCTATAGTGAAACTGAACATTTGAGCATATAAAATACAAATATGAATTTATAGCAAATTGCTAATAAAACAAGAATTCAACTATATGAAGAGAGACAAAAAAGTTTTATTATAATTCTTACTTCAAATAAGTATAAAACTAACACATCAAGCTCTGATGCTTCAGTAATTGAATTCTTATCTATTCTCGTAACTGCATAAGGGAATCTCACAACTTTCACCTCAAATTGTGACATTATTTCACATGTTTAGAGTTCCTACATACAAGAATTGAAGGAGTGATAAATAAAAGTTCTTTTTGTAAAAGTTAAATTTATAGAACAAAATTATGAAAACATGAAAAGTCACATGAATTATTGTTAAAATAAATATAAAAAAGATAGAGATGAAATTTAATTTTAAAGATACATGAATCTACTTTAATTTCTTGATAATTACTCATTTTTATTTTTATTTACATTTATGTTAGAAATTTGAAAGGTCAAGATAATGAAATGAGAATAAGAAGATTATATATATATATAAATTATATAAGTTTTAATTCATTAGAGGGGTAAAATGGTAATTCAACTTTTAAGTTTTGAGCTTCATGCTTATAATAATATATGATATATATATATATATATATATATATATATATATACATACAAAGAGGTTTGGCTGCTGGAATGACAAAAAGAAAGAAAACAATAACTCAAGTAGAATTGGCTTTGTGAAAACAAAACTCTGGGAAACCAAGGGATTAGTCACTCACGAAATCGAACATCCATATATCCTTTACCTAGTGACGAGCCTATGTTACAAGACAATTACAGTCCTGTACTGATCCTATTCAAATTATCTGAAAGATAGAGTGTAGAAAATGAGGGCAAGCCTATAGTAGTTGCTCTTAGTGCTAGAAGTTCTTTTAGAGCTTGAGAGTAGTATTCAGTCCCAATCATTTCTGAGTGAGGGATCTTTGTTTTGAGTACTCTGTGATTGCATTTGACAGTAGATTAAGTAAGCTAATAACTCACATACATAAGCATGATTGATTGTAGGTAATGAAATGTCATGTATAGATCCTTACATGTTAAATTCAGTGAATTGTGAAACAAAAGGTGTGGAAAAAAGCTGCTGCATATTGTGAATGATTGGAAATGATTTTGAGAAGTAAGGGGGATAATAAGTTGAGGGTGTTGATGTACCAGGATATCCGAGTAAAGATTAACGCTTAAAAACAAGGAACTAATACTAGAATCGAGTGTATTTGGTATGATTTGATGTGTTTGTTAATGACGCAGGAAGAATGAGACAAAAAAGAGAAGTAGTAGTAACTCATGGCTATCTTGACGGTCCGTGGCCCATTTAACGGACCGTTTAGGTTATAGTAAAGTATGATGACTATAGAGGAATTCTGAAACCCACATTTGAGAAAGTTGAAGTAATGGACACGAGAGATTTCACTAACCCTAATCATTTTGACGGGCCGTGGTTCTGTCCATCAAAAAAGATTCAGAGAGAAGTGAAAAGTCTCCAGATTGAGAAAGTTGAAGTGCAAACTACAGAAGTCTTCACGGAGCGTAATAATTTCGATGGTCCGTGATTCTGTCCGTCAACCAGATTCCATGTGAAAAGTTTCTAGAGTTGAGAAAGTGGAAGTGAAGACACGGAAGACTTCACGAATCGTGATAATTTTGATGGTCCGTAAGTCTGTCCGTCAACTAGATTCCAGAGAGCAGCGAAAAGTGTCGAGTTGAGAAAGTTGAAGTGAAAATCATGGAAGACTTCACGGACCGTGATAATTTTGATGGTCCGTGATTCTATCTGTGAACCGAATTTCTGTTTTAGAGATTTGAAGTCAAGACCACGGACTACTATACGGACCGTGAAGCCGTTCACGGGCCGTGAGGGGGACCGTGAAGGAAAGCGAAAATACAGTCCTAACTACATTAGGTCTCTTTTTAAAGGTTTTCTTGGTATATTATTTAGGTTTTTTTGGAACTATTTTTTAGTTATTCACTTTTTGAAAAAGAAGGCGAGAATAGAATTTGAAATTTTTTCGAACCGATTTTTGTTTTTCAAATTCAAACTACTTGGCAACGAGAGAAAGTTTTCCTCTTGGATTATAAAGTTGATTTAGAGTTTCAATTTGCTATCATAATTATACAGAATTATGTGTTCAATGATTATCAACTGTTATGTACGTAGAATTATGAATCACTAAGTATTCAAATCAGGTGTGTGTGATCTATGATGAGACTGTGAATCTGAATTTGTAAAATGAGCATGGAGTATTCTCCTTTCACATGTTGTAGATTCAAGAGATTTGGTTATGGCTTCTTATATGGTACATATACTCCTTATATTGAAATACTCTATAAGAACAAAGTCAAGCACCGAGTGAGTATGCTTGGGGAGTAGCTCTATTTAAGATGAGATTAGAGTATAAAGAAATCCTTGATATTCCTTAACCATGTGCCTACATGGAATGTGTCCTACTTCTACCATTGGCAAGTAGAACACCCTCTATTGGAGTATGAAAGACTTTGGATTCCATTGTCACGACCCCAGAGTATACCCTAGATGATATGGTATTCTCAAATCGTGGCACGGCGTACTTGACCTCTCAGAGGTCTTGTACAAGCCCTTTGACATCTTTTATTGCATACATGTATGAAAAGTAGTGCCGAATAAAAACTTTTCACATGAAATAGTAATACTTCTAAATATCTCCTTTAAATCTAAACATAAGGAAAGGCTAAGTCTCAAAGTCGCTGTCACATCGAGGGATCACCCTCTTGCCTCTTAGCTTACATCATTACATTCATAGGTTTAAAATGAGGAAAATTTAAAAACTTTTCTTCTATCTATCATGAGGTTTACATAGACCTTTCACATACAGATAATATATATTTGTATCGAGTATACATAGATCCTTTGCATAAGAAGATCACTTAGTCTTCTACCTTTATTGCACATATACATATATATAGTCTTAAAACCGAATGTCTCATCTCATAACCATCTGAACAAGAGTATAACAATTGGGCATTGCCCATACATCAATATGATAAAATCCGTATATAGCCTATACAATCTTTAGTACTCAAATGAAAGGAAATGAACATATTGTTTTAAGATTAATCAACATCCAATGTTAGAAAGTGACATTGTCCTCGAAGTCGTGAGGACCTACCCCATTTGGAGAATGAGTGTGACTATTTGTATTATGTATATGCTAGTTCTATTCATGTGATACTTGACATAGAATTATAGTATAGGTGAGGGATCATGTTTACTATATGGTTAGTATTGGTTTAAACTAGCTTGGAAGGTCATGTAACACCTTCCACGTTTCAGCAGGTGTAATGCAAGTTAACTCTGACAAAAAGTATTTAAGTAGATATATTAAGGATGTAATTGAGCATAAAGTTAAAAGTTAAGCGCTAAGTTGAAGAACAAGGGATTAACATTCAGAAATTGAAATAAAATAATTGAGCTGCTTGCTTGGCTTAATTTAAGCTAGCAATTGCATCACCTACATAAGCTATAACATAGTTAAAGAGCCAAGTTTGATTGATTAGATTTTAGGCTTATATTAATGGGCTGTCACTTGAAAGCCCACCCCTATTAAATGACAATAAAATTTGAAAGAAATCCCAACAACCAAATCTTCCAAGGCCTAATATGGATAAAGCCAAAGCGAAAGCAACTAGGTGCATCACCTAGTTTGACCTTTCGAGTTGCTTGATGTGCACAAGCAGGTGCATCACCTACTTGACCAATTAGTGGCTAAAAATAGACCCCCAAAAAAAGAGGGTTCTAGAGGATATTTTTGTGGTCAATAAAGCTCTATATATATCCAATATGAGCAGATATTCTTCACCCATTTTAACAATTAAAAGTAAAATTTAACTCCAGCTCTCTCTCTCTCTCTCTTCTCGCAAGGATTAAACCAGCAACCTTAAAATTTTCTATGGTTCTTGAAGAAACCCTCATATCTGCAAACCAAAGTAAGTGAAAACTAATGAATTTAGCTTAATTCTCCCATGGATGATTAGGAAAATATGTTATCCATACTCTAATATAACTACAAAGGCAGAATATTTCCAGAAGCTACTGCTCACTTAGTTATTAAAATACCTTTCTTTGTTCTTTGGTTCAAGTGTGAAGTGAGGCTAAAGTTCTAAAAGAATTCAAGTTATAACGAGAAGATGCAGAAATTGAGGCAAGGTGATTGCTCCATTTTTGTCTTCCTTATGAGTTTGATTGAGGAATTAGTGGTGTAATTTCATGAAGAAATCAAGGGGCTGGTGAATTCAATACTTAGTTGTATGATAAAGAATATTTGGTGCTGTTCTATATATATTACTGTTGGCGCAACTTGGTTAATCTTGAAAAAAAAGATGTATAATGTATGTGATGGACAGAGAATGAGGGTGTGGTGATACACATTATGTAAGGCTGTATGGGCTCATTATCAGTCAAAGTTAGCTACTGTTTTACAACGCTCACAGTGTGATAGCTGCTAATATTAGTTTACCATGACTTAAATTGTAGATTAAAACCAAAAAGGGGAGGCTGATCGTGATAGTATATCAGTCCGAGGATAAGGTATGTAAGGCTATTCGATTCTATATCCCTTTGTCATGAAATTTGACACCTGCAATTAATATCAATGAAGTGAATCTCATAAGTTCTATTCCTAGAAACGGAAACATAGTGGCAGCATACTATCCCAAATAGCTAACAATATTTCCCCATCACCGTAGTGCATAAAACTACTTCATTATCTGTTCAATATTTTATACTTGTGTAATTATCCCCCATGTGCTGGTATAGAAATGGTAATTGGAAAATCTAGTGTGTGAATCCTCCTCTTTGTTGTAATTGTGTCATTAATCCCTTTAAGTAATGCCTTGATGTTACATAGTTTCTTATGTCATTGTTATTTCCATGAAATATTATTTTCATGTCTTCTATTACTAGTCAATACTTCCATATCTCCAAAATGATTATGACCACCAAAATAACATCTCAAAAGAGTTATGAACTGATAAACAACAATCTCAAATATTAAAGAATCTAAGTGAAGAAACCAATATAATAACAGGTGGCAGCCTAGGGGCGAAAGGCTAGCATGGGTCGATCCCAACTGGTACATAAGGGTGGCAGCTATGGGGAGAAAGCCTAGCATAGGCCGATCCCTATTGGTATCAAAGGGAGGCAGCTCAGGGGCGAAAGCCTAGCATGGGCGGATCCCTATTGGTATAGAAGCGTGGTAGCTCAAGGGCGAAATCCTAGCATGGGTCGATCCCAAGTGGTGTAATTATGAGGACCGCGTCCCAAGGTTAATACGCCTAGCATGGGTCATCCTCTTCTACCACTGATCAGCTGGTCACTTGTATCACATGCCTTACAAAGATTATAACATACAGAAAAGTAAAGAAAAGAATGTAACTTACTTGATCCCACAAGAGTAAGCCAAGGTGCTCATCTCTCCTAACCTATGCACTCATATGTTTTAAGGGGGGAAGGATGTGACGTTCTCTATTATGTATATGCTAGTTCTATTCATGTGATACTTGACGTAGACTTATAGTGTATGTGAGGGATACCAGGGGCGGACCCACATGGTGTCCGCCGGGTGCTCGAGCACCCATTAACTTCGTTACGAAATATATATATCTATGTATAGGTATTTGTATAAAATTAACATAGAGCACCCAATGAATAAATCATATAGTTGGCCCAACGGTTCTAGGATGGGTACTTAAGACTCTTTAAGTGTTGTTGTACCAAGGTTCGAATCTCTTTGTTAACGCATATTTTTTACAGTTTCACTTCAGAGCACCCACAACCTTAAAATCCTAGATCCGCCATTGAGGGATACTGTTTCTTATATGGTTAGTGTTGGTTTAAACTAGCTCGGAAGGTGATGTAACGCCTTGCATATTTCAGTATGTATATTGCAAGTTAACTCTCACGAAAAGTATTTAAGTTTATATAGTAAGGTGGTAATTGAGCTTAAAGTTAAAAGTTAAGTGCTAAGTTGAAGAACAAGGGGTTAACATTCAGAAATTGAAATAATATAGCTGCTTGCTTGGCTTAATTTAAGCTAGCATCTGCATCACCTACTTAAGCTATTAGTTAAAGGGCCAAGTTTGATGGACTAGATTTAGGCTTATATTAATGTGCTGTCACTTGAAGCTCAAACCTATAAAATAAAAATAAAATTTGAAAGAAATCCCAGCAGCCAAATCTGCCAAGGCCCAATATGGATAAAGCCAAGCGAAAGCAACTAGGTGCATGACCTAGTTTGACCTTTTGAGTTGCTTGATGTGCACAAGCAAGTGCATTAACTTACTTGACCAATTAGTGGATAAAAATGGACCCAAAAAAACGGAGGTTCTAGAGGATATTTTTGTGGTCAATAGACTCTATATATATCCAATATGAGCAGATATTCTTCACCCATTTTAACACATAAAAATAAAATTTAACTACAAATCTCTCTCTCTTTTCTCTCAAGGATTAAAACAACAACCTTAAAGTTTTCTAGGGTTCTTGAAGAAACCCTTATATCTTCAAACCAAGGTAAGTGAAATTTCATGGATTTAGCTTAATTCTCCCATGGATGATTAGGAAAACATGTTATCCATAGTCTAATAGAACTACATAGACAGAATATTTCCAGCAGCTACTGCTCACTTCCTTAGTTATTAAAATACGTTTCTTTCTTCTGTGGTTCAAGTGTGAAGGGAAGCTGAAGTTCTAAAAGAATTCAAGTTATAAGGAGTAGTTGCAGAAATTGAGTTAAGGTGACTGCTCCATTTTTGTCTTCCGTATGTATGAGTTTGAGTGAGGAATTAGTGGTGTGCTTTCATAAGAACTCAAGGGGGTGGTGAGTTCAATACTTGGTTGTATGATAAAGAATATTTGGGGCTGTTCTATGTATATTACTGTTGGCACAACTTGGTTGATCTTGGAAAAAGGATGTATAATGTATGTGATTGACAGAGAATGAGGGTGTGGTGATACACATTATGTTTAGGGTTGAATGGTCTCATTATCAGTCAAAGTTAGCTACTATTTTACAAGGCTCACGATGTGATAACTGCTAATTTTAGTTTACCATAACTTAAATTGTAGATTACAACCAAAAAGGGGAGACTGAATCGTGATAGTATATCAGTCCGAGGATAAGGTATGTAAGGCTATTAGATTCTATGCCCCTTCGGCATGAAATGTAAGGCTATTCGATTCTATATCCCTTTGGCATGAAATCTTACACCTGCAATTAATATTAATGAAGTGAATCTCATAAGTTTCTATTCCTAGAAAAGAAAACATAGTGGCAGCGTACTATCTCCAAATAGCTAACAATATTTCCCCCTCTCTGCATAGAACTACTTCTTTATTTGTTAACTATTTTATACTTGTGTAATTATCCCCCATGTGCTGATATAGAAATGGTAATTGCAAAAGCAAGTCTGTGAATCCTCCTCTTTGTTGTCTGAAGTCAGTTGTGTCATTAATCTCTTAAAGTAATGTGTTGATGTTACATAACTCCTTATGTCACTGTTATTTTCTTGAAGTATTATTTTAATGTCTTCTATTACTTGTCCATACTTCCATATCTCCAAAATGATTATGACCACCAAAATAACATCTCAAAAGTGTTATGAACTTATAAACAAAAATCTCATAGATTAAAGAATCTAAGTGAAGAATTCTATATAAATACGGGTTGCAGCCCAGGGGCGAAAGACGAGCATGGGTTGATCCCAACTGGTACATAAGGTCGGCAACTCAGGGGCGAAAGCAAAGCATGGGTCGATCCCTATTGGTATAGAAGGGTCGCAGCTCAGGGGCGAAAGCCTAGATGGGCTGATCCCAAGTAGTATAATTCTTAGGATCGCATCCCAGGGGTTATAAGCCTAGCGTGGATCATCCTCTTCTACCACTGATCAGCTGGTCACTTGTATCACATGTCCTAGAAAGATTATGACATACAGAAAAGTAAGAAAACAATGTAACTTACTTGCTCCCACAAGAGTAAGCAAAGGTGGTCTTCTCTCCTAATCTATGCACTCATTCATATGTTCCTATTTGATTTCATTTGAGCTCTCGTATTACATATGCTATTGCCTTACATATTCAGTACATTTTTAGTACTGACGTCCCTTGCGGAGGACGCTGCATTTCATGCTGCAGGCATAGGTACTCCTGCTAGTAGACCTCCTCAGTAGGAGCACACAAAACTCTGCTACTTTTGGGAGAGCTCCAAGTTGATTATGAGCTTTATTGAGTCTTTGGTAAATTCATTTTGGTATTGTATCGCAGTTGAGGGTAAGGCGAGGTCGTCCCGACCTACTCTAGTCTTCTATCTTTTAGAGGCTTTGTATACGTATGTACATGGTTCAGTTGTGTCTTAAGGAGTTGTGGCCTCAATGGCCAAGTCTTGTATATAACTTTTGGACCTAGTTATGTTGTTTCGTATCGCTGCATCCTAGGTGAACTTGCCACAATTGTTATAGTTATATGCACAGTAAGAACAGGTTGTAGGTTGGTTCTCTCTGGCCTTTTGGGCATTGAGTGCCTGTCCGTCTTACTGGGTATTGAGGCGTGACAAAAAGTGGTATTAGAGCAGGTCATCCTAGGGGGTCTACAAAGCCGTGTCTGTGTAGAGTCTTGCTTATGGATGTGCTGTGCAGAACATCTTTAAACAGGAGGCTACGGGACATGTAGGAGTTGTCTCATTTCTTAGATCGTACGATAGAACCAGTGTTGTAGGTGAATCATATCTAATTTCTCAATTAGCAAAAAAGATGCCGGTTTTACGAGAAGGATTCAATGTTCTGGTAAACGAGTAGATGTGGCTGCCCCAGAAGGGACCAACAACCACCACCAAGTAAAGCTGTCCAAAGTGGGGCTCAAGATGAACTAAGGAGGGAAGATGAACCTCAGGAACCCTTTATCAATGCTACAGAGCAAGATTTGAGAAATGCAGTCAAATTATTGACTCGTATAGTCGCTGGTCAAGGCTAAAGGCAAAAAGGTCTAGTTGCAGGTACTAGTGGCGTAGATAGATCAGCTGGAACACGGATACGTGATTTTCTTAACTTTGACCCTCCATCATTTACTGGGTCAGACCCTAATGAAGATCCGCACTACCTTATAGATCAAATCAAACGCACTTCGTATAGATCAAATCAAACGCACTTCGTATATTATGAATGTGAGAGAGTATAGTCTCAAATTTAATTCCTTGGCCAGGTATGCTCCTAATGTAGTAGGTACTATGGAGGATAGAGTTTATCGATTTGTGTATATATTAAATTCATATCTGGTTAGAGACTGTACAATTGCTTCATTGAATAAAGATATGGATATAGCAAGGATTCAGGCCTCGGTTCTCTAACAGACCACCTAGGACGCCATCTTTCTACTCTACAGCTTGTTCTCCACCATGGTTCCAAGGGTTTAGGGGCAATGGGTTTGGGCAAAGAAGTGAAATCCAAGGTTCACAAATAGCGAGTCATCAAGAGCAGTGAAGTACGATCCAATCAAGCCCTCCACGACAGCCTTGTAAACAGTGTGGGAGGAATCATCTAGGTTCATTCAGGTTTGGGACAGATGTTTGTTTTTGGTGTGGCACACCAGGGCATATGATGAGAAACTGCCCTCATAGGGGAGCGGGTGGCGTTGCACAACCAACTAGATCAGTTGTTGTGTCGACCTCATCAACCCCTTATTTAGGTAGGGTACTACATATGCCTACAGGTCGTGGTAGAGGAGCTAGGGGAGCAGCTAGTTCTAGTGGAGGTCAGAATCACACATATGCACTAGGGGATCGACAAAATTAAGAAGCCTCGCCGAATGTGGTTAAAGGTACATTATCCATCTTTTCACATATTGTAGTATATGCATTAATTGATCCAGGGTCTACACTATCATATGTTACACCATTGATTGCTGGAAAGTTCAAAAGAACACCAGAATTATTAGTGAAGCCATTTGAAGTATCTATAT